AAAAAAAAAAAAAAAAAACCAAAGCAAAAAAGAAGGTATCAACAGGCAAAAACCTACAATGCCCTGCTTCACTCTTCTGTGTGGTGGTAAGGAAGTGGGGTGGAAGAAGAGAAGAGACACCGCTGGGGCTCTTCTTTTTATTTTTGTTTTATTTTAAAGTCACCAAGTTCTTCCTTCTACATACCCTCCTTCAAAGATTGTAAAGACACCCATCACTGTCTCCTTGTTACCTTCAGAAATGTTTGGAATATAGGCAGATTTTTTTTTTAAAGCAGCAGCTGCTGCTTGGAAATTTGGCAGTTTGCCTGAGGGCACATAAACAGGTAACTAGTAAACATTCTCTGGCTGACTCCTGAATAAATCATGCTCCAGACAGAGTCCTCCACTGCAGTCTTCAAGCAGAAATACAAGGTAGGGGGAGCAATGATAGCTCAAGGAAATAAGGCTTGAATTTTTTATTAACCACACCAAACTACCACACACACCTTGATCAAGCAGAGCTTCTTGGGGTCAGTACTACACAAGGCTGTCAAAAAAGCGTTACAAATTAGTAATAAAGAAAAAAACAGGAGAGGCTGGTTGAAGCACAACAATTATTTCCCCCCAAACTAAAAACTAGCTCCTTCTACCTGTTTTTCAAATCTTCTTCTTTACCCTCCTATGTGTCCCTCTATTCTCCTTCACAAGATGTTGGGAGCCAGTGATGTGTCTGGACATGGTCCACGTCGCCTGAGGGTCTGGAGTCAGGGACTCGACCCTCCCCACAATTACCCTTGAGGAGGTTTGCTATCCGAGATAAAGAAATTACCAAGGTCTGAGCTCAGGCAGGAGGCAGGATATTTACTCTGAAAGAGTATTTATGCAGCTTTGAAGGAACAAGTTAGTATCACCCTCACCTCATTACCAATTGTTTGTTACTTACTATATAATAAAGGCATTGAAGCCATTTGGCGCTGCTCCTCCTGATCCCATAACTTTGTCTCTTTCATTCCCACCACTGGAACTCAGGTTTGTTTGTTTCTCAGGCTGGTTCCTGACAACAAGAAAAATCTGCTACAGAATTCTATGTGTTGTTTACTTCCTCTTTGCTTTTAAAACAAGAAACTTAATGGCAATCAAGTGTTCTGTAGGAATATGCCTTGTCCTTGTCATGGGAAAGGTTAAAGTGTACACAGCCACTAGTCCAATTAGAGTGGAGAGAGCTAATCAGCATTATTCTTTCCCCTCAGCCCAGCGACCTGACCTTAGGTTTCCGTCCTACACTCCCTAGGTGTATTCCCTATGTGTCTCTAGCTCTGTGATGAGATAAAATCAGCTTGAGTTGGGACCATGGCACAATATGATGATAGGGGAAGGGCACACTAAAGGAATAGAATCGGAGTTAATTAATAACTATTCACTATACTAGCTATAAAAAAGAGATTTTCTTAGGACCCTGGGAAACTGGAGGACGTGTTGTAAGAAGAAAAACAGTTGTAAAGATAAATGGACTTTGAAGTCCAGGTGGCTCCATCACTCAGACAGAAGATACATTTTGAGAGCAAATCAAGGTCAGGCCCTGCCTGAAAGGAGACAAAATTCTGAGGGCTAATCTTTACCAGGACAATGATAGAAAACAGACCCCGAGAACTCACGTAGTTTTAGATTCTCTCGCACCCTCTAACTCTATATAACGGCGGCTTGAGACAGATGTTAGAGCAGTGTTTCAGGGTATTTACCTGCCGTTCTCTCAGATCACCAGCATCTGAATAAAGCACCTCAACGCTTCAACCTTGTCTCTACTTATTGACTCTGGTAGTGACAAGCAGCTGAACTTGGTTCCTGTTTTAATCCTCCTTTCCCTGGAATCACACGCCAATATTCCAAGTTTGAAACTTGAAAGACAAGGCAATCAATTCTAAATGAAACCTGCAAATCATCTTTTTTTTTTTTTTTTATGATTTCAGAAATAAAGAAAAACCAAGAAGCCTTCTTACAATTTTTATACAAAGTAGCCCTTTTAAGTTAATATGGCCAACAAATAATTATCTACTATGTTTCAGCCATAGTTATATAAGAGATGGCCAAAGGAGGTATTTTAAGAGATTCAGATTATAATACACTGTGCCACGTACTTAGTCACTCATTTAATATGAGAACAAGCAAATCAAATATTGAAAATGGCTGCAGAGGGATCCAGATACTCATATAATAATCTTCCTTCCATTCTAGAATACAAAGAAGAAAAACAGTTGTAAAGATAAATGGACTTTGAAGTCCAGGTGGCTTGGGAAATGCGGTGGGGGCAGTGGTATCCTAAGTTACTCACAGGAATTTGTATGTGGACATCAGAACAGGATGGAAACTTTCTAACAGCCATTAAGTACCATAGCTTTAATCAACTAGTTTCAGGGAAAGCAAAGAAGACTGCAGCCATATTACATAATCAGATTTAGCCATTTAACCTGAAAATTAGGGCTTTATCAGCTCCATCAATCACCCAAAAAAAGAATTTGGACAACATTAGATGGGTGCCATCCCAAATGATCAGATCTTTGATTTGCAAACAGGATGTGGCTTAATAATCAAAACACAGAACTAGATTATTCAAATATCTAGAGCCTAAAATAATTCCATTTAACAGGTTTAACAATATGTAGCACACACTCTCCAGTTGATAGAAACAGCTCTCAATGGCAAAGACAAGTAGTAAATACTAAACATCTCCACAGACCATTTAGCAGTGGAGGGACTACGGCTAACCCTTGAAAGCAAATTCAGAATAGAATGGAAACTCAGTACTAGACTTGTTTTTCAAAAAAAGAAAGTATGAATCCCACTGAATTCGAGGTTCAGATCAAAACCAGAAGTTGTGCTGCATTAAGAAAAACACTGGCCCACTGCTACAAGGAAGTTATTTGGAGGAATCGGACAAAAAGCAGTTAGCTAACATTTAACTTGCATATGTTGTTTTCTTTACTAAAATCAGCGCCACAGAGAAATATACCCTGTTTTGGGCCTTGTTAATGTTGCTTTCCCCTCTATCAATTCATCTTTTTTTTTTTTTTTTTCCAGGAATAGGACTATAGCTCAAGTTATCTGAAAGCCTCCCCAGAAAACCGTGTTCCAAAGGGAAGGCTCCATGGGAAGAAGAGAGGAAGAAGCTGCTCTTGTGTCTTTGGTAATGTTCATCCAAACCAGTTTTCATTATTTCTCAATGGATAGGAACACCTCAACTAATAGAGTAAGTTCATTTACAAACAGGTAATAAATTGAAATAAACACTTTATTTAAGTTTCTTATCTGTCTCTAACTCTATTTCATTAGGAATTTACAGCCCTTCATTGCCATATAATTGCCAGTTTCTATTTTCTTGAATAAACTGTACTTCTATGCTAATGGGATAAAAGCTTAATATAGAAGTACAGGAATTATCCTAATTTATACAATAGTAGTAAGCATCCTAATTATCTATCTTTTGAGCATTTTATAATACATTGCATCCTTTTGCTTCATATTTCCTCACTTGGACTGTAAAGCTTGGACCCAAGTCTTCTACTTTTCTTATAACATCCAGAGTTGCCAGCACTGGGATAGGCACAAAGCAATTACATGACAGATCTATTTTTTTTGCACAAGCCAGGCCCTAACTGTTTCATATAAAAATAAACATATTCTGAATGCCAGTCCTGTGCAAGGCATTCTAATATTTGTCACAAAGGATTCAGAGAAATATGTGACATGGCACACACACAACAGCAGGCCTTTTGTCCCCCCAGCCTAATAATTTCACCAGTTAAGAACTACCTTGATGTCAAGACGCTCTGTCACTCTCTAACTGCCATCTGCTCAATTAAATGCTTTTAATTCTATATATCAAATGAGAACATTTGTAAAAGTAATTTAAGCACAGTTGAAGTATCATTCAAAATGATGTTACCATATGGCCCAACCATAAGTATGGCTTCCTCATAAACACCTACACATCATCACCAGAGAACTAGATTCCAGATTTTCAAGAGAACGTCCATAAAGTAGAATCTGATTCCTTTGCATTGCTGATTGCACTCATTAATTTGCTTTTAAATAATAATCCTCAAACACAATTTCCAACAGCTGCCTTAAAGAAAATTGCCAGCCCCTGCTAATACAGATGAAACTAATGCCCAAAGCCCTCCTGATTTTTCATTTAATCCCACACTTTACCTCACCCACCCCCGCCTCATTCCTCACCACTCCGCAGGCCTCGCCCTCGTTGCCCCACCAGCCCAGCACTTTCTGCTCAATCATTACCCTCTGTGACGCCGCTCAAGCCCTCCACGCTTCCCGGACACCCTCCTTCCGGCCCTGGCCCCTTAGATTCGCCACCTCACTATAGGTGGCTGCTCAAAACCCATTTTCTTACAGGGCAGGCACGTGTTCTGTGATTTCTCTCCCAGTTTAATCACTTACTGAACATATCAGAGACTTTCATGTAATTTTCCGTAGGTTAATACATTTCTCACGTTTTGTCGTACCAACTTTGAGAACGGGCTCTGTTCCCCTCTCCCCAGCCAGGGTCACAGCTTCACTAGGACCCTGTGACGCCTGAACACGGTAAGAGGGATCGCCTCAGATGTCTACTGGCACAGTATTTACAGTAATTTGGTATCCTGATTGAACTACAGTCCAATAGCAGGCATTCTGGGTGAAATACAGCCCGAGGGCAGGAGCTCAGTGAAGTGAACGGAGTTAGGGGACTAAACCTTGAGGAAGCTGAGAGCGGGAGGGAAAGGGCAGGAGGAAGTGGAGACCGGAGGGTGGTGACTAGAGAGTAGGACAGAAGCGCAAAGAAGGGCGTCTCAGGAAGTCTGGGCAGTTGCCCCAGGGCAGGCAGTCCCAGCGCCCAGGACGAGGCGGGGCACGTCCCGCTCACCTGCGAGGGCGGGGCCGTGCCGGGACCCGCAACTGAAGAGCAGGTCGCGGTAGCGCTGGAAGGCCTGGTCCAGGACGGAGCAGCCGGGCTGCGCGGCCGATCTGACGTGGTACTTGAATCGGAAGCTGTGCGGGGAGATGGTGTAGTGCTTGTCGGAGGTCTGGATGTACTGGGGCCAAGGCCACAGAGCCGTGGCCGGCCCAGCGATCGCTGCCGCCAGCAGCAGCGAGAACCAGAGCCTGGAGCCTGCCATGGCCCGCCAGCCTCCTCGGTCCCAGCGGCCCGGCCCACGTGACCTCCTGATCAGGTGAGCTGCGCCCTCGTGACAACCGACGTGTCACGTGACCGGATGCGGCTCGTCGCGCGCGACCGTGGAGCACAGCCCGCGCGTCTTCTCCTGGCGTGACCCCGGAGCTCCCGCGGCGTTGCTTGGGCGGTGGCGGTGCCTGCTGCTCCAGGGCATGGTGGCGCAGTCGCTAGTGTGCATGGCAGGTGCCAGGCCTGACATCATCACAGAACGGTGAGCTCCCCAGACTGTAGGAGTGCCAGGTGGGGAGCAGGAAAGGAAAGTCCTCAGACTGATGACGTCTAGGCTGAATCTTGAAGAGGGAATATAAATTCGCCAGGAACTTCAGAAGCAGAAGAGGATTAAAACACGGATTGTTGTGATTCGAAATGCTGTGGGGGGGCTTAGGTAGTAGGAATGGCCCTTCTAGAGAGGGGATCACAAGATCACCAAAATGTGATCCACTTATGACTGGGGGGTGGGGGTAGGGATGTGCTTTCAGAGCAAGCTTGAGGTGTCCCGCTTCCTCCTCCTGGTGTGGGCTCTTCTCTTGATGGTTGATAATCTCTAGTAACTGTCCCCCAGTCTCCCCCCACCTCAGACAAAACTTCACAAACTGGGGTATGTACTTACTGCAAATAGTAAGACAATGGTTGAACTTTGGGTTCAAGATGGAGAATGCCCAGAGATAAGACAGGGGCCTGGTCCTACAGGAGCTTACATAGAAGTCGAAAGTCAGGACTTTATTCCATGTGCAATTGAAAATTACCCCCAGATATCTGCATTTTAGAAATCTCATGTTGAATAGTTGGATGGATAAGAATCCAGTTAGGTTTTGGGGGTTTTGGGGGGGTTTTTTGGAGATGGAAGATGAGAGCTTGAACTATAGCAGTGGGGAAGGAAGAGAGCGGTAGATCCAGGAAGTAGTGGATATTCAGAAGCACAGGGGTTAATACAAGAGAGGCTTGAGGGCTGATCAATGGGAACGCTACAGATAGGGACCCTGTCTTCCTTTGTCACCACTGTATTATCAGAGTGTAGTTGAATCACTGACTGAAATTAAATAAAATAATGCTATGTGTGGCATTATTTGGCTGGAATGTAAATTTTTTAAATCATGAAGTTTCATTTTAGTATTAAAATAAGTATAAAAATCAGGAAAATGAACTTTTTAAAATAAAGGACCCTTAAAAATCATGGTAATTTATACAGGGTGGGACAAAAGTAGGCTTACAGTTGCATGTATGGAAAATAATACAATAATTAGTAAATAATAATACAAGAATAAATTGTTTCCCACACTCACAACTGTAAACCTACTTTTGCCCCACCCTGTATTTAGATTGTTAGCCACCTAATTTAATAGTTATATGTACATGACTCATAATGAGAAATCAGAAAAACATCATCTCTCACTTATGTAACTTCCCAGGATTCATCAAATTTCTCTTAGAAGGCTCATTATGCTAGGATGGCGCTTATAGCAAAAAATGGAAATTTGATCTCACAATCACAGTTTCAGATCCTCAGATTACATATTTATACTACATCCTACATTGCTTAAACCTGTTTTCATCACCACTAGTAAGTGTCTGGGTACTCCACCAGTCAGTGAGGCAGGATAGTAAGAAGCTAGGGAAATTCCTTGACATGTGCAATAAGGGAAATAGACAAAATAATTAAACAAGGCCAAACAATTTGAACAATTTACTAGCCAACTAATGAATCACAAGGTTTTATCTTCCCTAACCAAGGACACTTAGGAGCAAATGGTTTACACATTCTAAACCATCCAAGGGCAGACTGGCCCCAGACAGACCAGCCTCAGTCCTGTTCCCTCTTTAATGACATTCTTTAAAAATAAAACCAACCAGAAAATAACCCAGACCTCTCTATATGCGCATTTTGATGAATCATAACAAAAAACACACCTGAAAAGCTAATGAGTATTTTCTTAAGACCCTCCCCCAAGACCTCCCCTAGGATTCTTGCCAACCGAAAAAGATAAAAAAACTCAAGACAAAGGATTCATAACTCACTCTCGCTAGAGCAAGCCCACACCTTGTATCTCTGTTCTCTTTCCCCTAAACTCTATGGGTCCCCATGAGACTTGCAACCAGGGCAACAGTGGTTTGTGGCAGCTTGTCCCCATCCTATCTCCTGAACCTGTCTGCAAGGCTCCCTTTTTCTCTGACTTTCCAGAGAACTAATAGCAGCCCTCCCATGGCTCACTTCTTTCACTATGATTTCTATTTCTTGGTGAGTCAAAGCAGCTCTGCCTAGGCTCTGTCTCTTTTTCTATAATGTTTCTAGAAAGCCAAAACCTAGGCTCTTTCCTGTTGCTTCGTCTCCAGTCCCAGCTGTAATAAACATACTCTACACATACGTGTGCTCTGGATAGAGCACGCCCACACCTTGTATCTCTCTGTCTTTCTCCTAAACTCTAAGGGACCCCAGGAGTCTTGCTACCAGGGGAGCAGCAGACAGTGGCAGCTTGTCCTGGGCTAACCCCCGGAACCTGTCTCCAAGGCCCCTTTTCTCTGACTTTCTCTCTCCTGTTGCTTCTTTTACCTTAAGCCCTTCCTTTGTTTCACTGACCTCAGCTTTAATAAATGTAGTCTCAGAACCACCTGGACTCGTATTTTGAAATCTTTCCTGCATGAACTCAAGAATCTACACACTAGCAGCAGGCCTGAGGCAGACTAGCTCTGGACCCAGTTCCCATCTGGTAACATCAGGAGGCACATTACCCAAGGTACCAAGGGAGAGGATACCAGGATTACTGTCAAGAAGAGCCAAGTTCATAATTAAGCTTCTGTCCCATAAGACCAGTAGTTTAGGGGGAGGGTTCAGAGTGTGTTCAAAGGTTAAAACAGTAGGTCAAGATAGGGTTTCAGGACTGAATGTGTGCCAAGGCATACCTGTATGTGATACCTGGGGAGAGGAGTTATTTACCTAAGTCACAAGATGAAGGATCTGGACCCGAAAAAAAGATTGTAAAAATTACTAATGAAAATTCTTCGAAATTTTGATGAGGGAATAGTCCAAACATATTAGTCCATTATCCTGCCTCTGACTAGTATATCTGGTAGTCAGAAAAATAATGAATGACCATTAAAAGTTTAAGATTTTTGCAGAATCCTCCTTGGGAGTAGGCCACTGGAAGCAGCTGCAACTTAGCGCCCAGCCTCGCCATCGCCACTCCTTGCTGGGCCTGGCAGCGCAGCCCTGCCATCAGAAATCAGCATCAGGAAACTTCTGTGTTTGCTGGGGAGAGGGCTGTCGCCTCCCCAGTCCTGGGCACCACTGGAACCATGAACCAGATGGAGACAGTAAGCTGTGGCTAGGCTGCAGAGCCAGGAGCGCTAGGGGCGGAGAGGGGAGAACTGGCTGCAGAGGCTCACTGCGAGCACGACAGCGGGAGTCCAAGGCTGAGACTTGCTGGAGGGAGCAGCACGAGCGCCCTGCCATCATCCTGCCTGGGAGGTTAGCCCCAATCTGTGTCTGGGAGAGGCCATGCAGCAAAGTTTTGGGCCAGTGGAGGGGTCTGACAGGTTAACCCAGAAGTGATTTTGAGGGACCCTTTACATTCTGGAGGAACTTCCACCAGACAGGGACTGGACAGTAGGGCTGGGAAGGAGGATGGGTCCTGCTCACCTCAAGCAATGCGGAGGTCCCCCTTCCCCAACCCGTGGAAAGGCTGGTTGTGCGCTGCCCTGGTGCCGAGGTAAGGAGGGAGCGCTCTGGGCTGGAAAATCCACACAACTGAGTGGGGAACTCGGACATTTGGCCTGGTCAGAGCCTGGGTGGGGGTCCTGCCGAGCAGGGGCCATCCATTGGAAGATTGGAGTACCAGTTGGGGATGATATATATTTTTTAATCCCCTTCTGCTTAATGTGGCAATGTGGAGGCGCCAGCAAGCCAGGCAGAGTTAAGTTATTGGAAGGAGAGGAAGTGTCCAACACCCTTACTAAAGGCTACGGAAACCACCCTTACCAGAATCTGTTCAAAACATACTGGACAAGACCAGGATTCCACTGCAGAATCCAATTCCATGGGGGAAGGGAGAGCAGCTCAGAACCGGGACACTGAAGGTGGGAGACCCAGCCTCTGGGCTATGGAGGCCCAGCCTCCCAGACTACTTGGGGCTCCACCCTGCCATGCTTTAGTCAAGTTGTCCAGGGCAAGGCAGGAAGAGCCACTCACATTGACCTGTACTGCAGAACCTCCCAAGAGGCTTGGGACTGACACACGAAGGGGCCAGATTCAACAATATTGGAGCAAAAGCCAATGAACTGCACAAGTAGAACATAGAATTTCTTTTCCTTCTTTTCTTCCATATTCTCTTTTATAGTTCTTTTTTCCCTCTCTAATTCTTTTGGTCTCATATCTTTTAGTATTTTTTTTCATTTTTTCCCCCTTTTTCAGTCTTTCCTGTTGTTTTATGTTTCATGTTGTTTTTTATTTGGTGTTGTTTTGTCTTGTTTTGTTCTGTCAGCACCTGTATAATAGCTGGCACGATGTGGTTGGGGTTAAGCCTCAGTCAGAAAGCCTGAGGACTGAGCCTATCCACCAAGGGGACAAAAGCAATCAAGATCTAAATATAACAGGAGGGCCCAAATAACCCACAGGAGGGACATTCCTAGAGCAACCAGCTCAGAAGATCAAGACTATACCACTGGGTCCCACAAGAAAGCCACTTTGTTAAGACTGGGAGGCATAGCAGTCTTATCCAACACAAAGAAATAAACACAAAGAAATAGCAAAAATGGGGAAACAAAGAAACAGACCCCAAATGAAAAAAACAGGAGGAATCTCCAGAAGAATAGATAAATGGAGGAAAACAATTTATCAGAAACAGAGTATAAAGTAATGGTTTTTAGAATGTTCAACACTATGAAAAGGACATAAAAACCATGAAAAACAAGCTGTCAGAAATGAAGATTGACATAATTGAAATAAAGAGTACACTGGAAGGAATTAACAGTAGGTTAGAAGCAG